GCTCGGGCCCCGCCACTCAGCCTGCGCGGAGCCTGGACAACCCCGCTCCCGGAGGAATGACAATTCTCCCTAATGGGACAACCTCGCTCCCAGTGGAGTGACAATTCCTCGTAATGGGCCGCTTGTTAGCGGCCTATTCTCCCGAACTCGGGTATCAGAAGCGGGCAGACACGCGGGCGCCAACGTCCGCCTGGAATTCCACAGCACCGCCCAACCCCCTCGGTCGGCGATTCGCTGTGTGACCTCGAGCAAAAGGCTGCTCCTCTCTGAGCGCATTATTCTTACCTATGCAGTGTGGAGCGGAGACGGGGAGAATCTGATCTCAGTGGGGTGGACATATTTCCAAGCACGTAGAGAGGCGATTATCAGTCATAGAGCCTGGTAGAGGTTGGATAGGCGCTCAGTTACCCCACGAGTTTGGGGGGATCAAACCCATTTGTGTTGTGAAGTCCTGGGGATTCTAGCTGGCTTTCTCCTTTTTCACCCACTTAAGTTAAACTTGAGGTCTACACCACGGGCAGGAACGAAGGGGGCCTGAGCTTCTTTCATACATTTTTCACTTTTGAGAAGAAGAGTTCAAGGATATGAGGAAGGAAAGGCTGGCTTGTGGTGAAGTGCTGGCCAAGCCAAGTTAAAATCCCACAAGGTCCAGGAAAGATACCTTGATGGAGGGGAAGGTGGAAAGTGGTAGTGGCAACAGATATTCTACCTCCCTTTGGGTCCTGAGGTGAGAAGTGGGAGGTTCCAGTTGTTGCTAGCCTCTGCGGGTGAAAAAGCAGGGGGTTCCTTCTGCAATTCTGAATGCAAAACCAGACCCTCCTTCTTATAATTTGTCACCATTACATCACCACACCTCAATTTCTCCTTCTGGAAAATGGGTATATTAATGCTCAGCACATAAGGTTGATAAGCGTGGACTAGTTGAGAAGCTTTAGAAAAAAAAAAACAAAAACAAGTTTTATTTGCCACAAATAGTAACTATAGAGTACAGTAAAATAAATAAGATAGAATAAAAAGTGTTACACACAAAAACCCCCAAAACTAAGTATTACAGTAGGTAAGACTGAATGGGGACTTGAAAAGATAGGGTAATAATAGGCATAGATTAATAGTAATTATCTAAAATACAAGTCATGTGAGTGATTGTATGAAACACAATGTAAATGAAAGATAGTATAAGATACAATGCACATGAGGGAGCTCCAGTAGCCTTGTGGCAAGAAGCTGCACTGCAGTAACAAAAGACACACAGTTTGAATCCACCAGATACTCTGCCAGAGAAGGAGGGGCAACTTCCTCCTGTGCTAGTTGGATCTGATTCTATGGCACACAACAAGAAAATAAATAATAAAATCTTTAAAAAAAAATACAATGCACATGAATGAAGCACAATGTATATGGATTTTT